AAAGAACAAAGGGTTTATTCAACACCATGTTCGGAAAGTTTTAGACACCCACATAGATTTTTAATTATGTTGGAACATAATTACAGGTCAACTTACAGGTCAAAATTGGTAACCTGAGGAAAAACCAAGTGTATTTTGTACTTCTGTGTGCTGAGCTGGTGAGAGCTGGAGCACAGCAGCAGCAGCCAGGCTGTGTGCAGAGCTGGACTGCACCATTGCTGAGTGCTTCCACTAATGAGTTATAATGAACAAGAAACTACAATAAAATCAAGTTAGTGCAGTGAAGTGTCACATTTATGTCCTTAGCTCAGCCAAAACTCCCACTGACCCCAAAAAAAGGGCTTGGAGGGGAGAGTCTGGGCTCCCAGCTGAACCATGCAGTAGTGAAGCTTTAGCATCAACCTCTCACTGCCCCCCAAAATACAAAATATTTTCTTTTTAGCATTATTTTTATTCAAATTGACTGAGATTATGATTAGCTGGCACTAGTATTATGGGCAATTACAGTTCCTTTAATGGCACACCTTAGAGTTTCTACATTAGCCCTTCAAAATAACTTGCACCTTTTGTCTTCCCTGGAAGGTCTCCTGTCACCTCCCAGGCACAGTCATGAACAACCTGTTCTGCAGGTTTGGGTTCCAGGGGGTGTCCAGGCTTTGCACACCATGATTATCTTTAATGTTTTTATTGATATTATTCCATGGCAAGTGTGTCCCTCCCACAGGGCAGCTCTGCCTGCCAGTTTCCCTGCCATGCTGCAGCCAACGCCCTGCTCACCTTTGTGCAGTGTTTCCATGCAATAACCTCTCACTTCACCAACCATCCTCAGGGAAGGGCTGGATTGCAAAAGGAAGCCTGGGATCCTCATTTTACACCGTGTCCCAGAGCTTGGGTTTGGTGCCAGAGCTGCCCTGACCAGGGTCCTGCTGTGGGGCCTCCTCTGCCCATTTGATTTCCTCAAATCTTGATCCAAGGAGCTCTTCAGGGGGGTGAGAAATGGGGAAAGGGAAAAAAAAATGAGGAAAACAAACTACTTCCAACATGGTTCATGCTTTTCTGATTTTGAGCAAGAGGTGAAGAGCAGACCCCAGGAAGCCTGCAAGATGCTCCAGTCTCAGTACTTTCCCTGTTTTCCCCTTCACAGCTTGCAGGTTTTGTCAGGGGGTTGGCAAACTGGGCTGTTTAGAAGCCAGAGGTTCAAAGGAGCGACCATTTAACAACCTGGTCTGATGGTTTCCAAGGTATTTTTAACAGGTCCATGTTGGCAGTGGGCTCAGTCCTGGGGCAGGGCCGGCTGTGCTGGCAGGGACTGGGGCAGGACAAGGCTGGTGTCAGTGACAGCTGGGAGCAAAGCCAGGGGAGAGGCCCTGACAGTGCAGCCATTTCCAATCCCCATGATCCATGGGGAACACTCGGACTGCTGAGGTGGTTAGAGGGGTTGTTTTTTTTTCTGAGCAGGAAT